TTTGCAGGGGCCCCAGGCAAGGGAGGCTCTGGGAACAGGGCTGCCCACAGCAACCTGCATCCCTGGGGGTGTGGTGGTCAGGCTGATGGCAGGCCCAGTGTGACCTGCCCTTAAGCCCCACCATGTGGCACCCAGCCCCAGGGGCCCTCGGGTAACTGCTGGGCCTCCTGCTGGACAGATCATCGGGCGGGTGAATGCTGACCCTGACTACCTGCCGCGCACCATGGATTTTGGCCTCAATGTGCGAGGCTTCCTGGACCGCTACTGCCCCCCAAATTGCCCCCCAAGTTTCTTCCCCATTACCGTGCGCTGCTGTGATCTGGACCCTGAGAAGAGGTAAGTGAGTTGGGGTGGAGGCTTAGGGTAGGGTGTTCCCTGGCAGAGCCAGAACCCGTCGTCCCCCTACTTGTCTCCCTAGGCCCTCCTTTGTGAAGCTGGAGCAGTGGCTGGAGACCCTCCACATGCACTTGGCCGGCCACCTGCCGCTGGGCCCACAGCTGGAGCAGCTGGACAGGGGCTTCTGGGAGACCTACCGACGCGGCGAGAGCGGACTGCCTGCCCACCCCGAGGTCCCTGACTGAGCCCAGCCCACCCAGCCACCTCTGTCCCCACCTCTAGAGAATCCATCCTGCGCCAGATTCCTTTGCAGCAGGTGGCTGGATGTGGCTCCCTCAGCGGGGTGGTGGACACCCAGACCCATCCCCAGTGCCAGGCCCTGACTTGCCTTCTCCTACCCTGTGGGCCGTGGCCCCTGCCCTGTCTCTGCCCTCGGCCCCAGAGCTGGCCTGGCTGCACACACAGCACCACCTCACCCTGCCTTACCTCTGTCTTGGCGGGGCCACCCCCTCACGCTTCTTGCATGAGCTGGAGGACCCGTGTGAGTTGTGCCCCATCCCGTGCCCCGCCACCCTGGCTGCCCCGCACACTCCACCCGTCTGCAGCTCCTCCGAGGCTGGGCTGAAGGACAGCCTCAGACCATGGCCCGTCACGTGTTCCCAGGAGCCAAACAGGGAATCTGGGGTCCATCACCCACCTCGGGGTGTCTAAGTAGTAGCAGGTATTGATAATTATCCAAACTCCTAAAGCAGAGAGAGGTCTGCTCCTGTGGGGTGGAAGTCCCCGCCGGCCAGGCAGCAGCCCTCCCTTGCTTTGGGTCTTTTCATTTCTTTATTGAAGCCACTTTAGTGAGAAGCAGGTACCACACCTCAGGGTGACGGGAGGGTCCCTTGAGGGAGAGGGGAACCGTGGTCCCTGGACCAGGGCTGCTGGGAGGAACAGCAGAGGGAGGCTGGGCAGAGCGGATGAGGCAGGTGTCCACCAGCATCCCAGCCCCCTGAAGTTCATCTCAGTGCCCCCTCCCGGGCCTCTCCTCGAGGCTCCCTGCCAGTGGCTGGAGCAGCCCCTGCCCGTCCCCAGGCCTCTCTGTCCTCTGGGTTCTTTCTGTGTAATCTATTTTTTAAGAAGAGTTTGTATTATTTTTTCATACGGCTGCGGCAGCAGCTGCCGGGGGCTTGGGGTTTTATTTTTTTGGCGGGTGGGGGTGGGGGGGCCATTTTGTCACTTTGCCTCAGTTGAGCATCTAGGAAGTATTAAAACTGTGAAGCCTTCTCAGTGCACTTTGAACCTGGAAAACGATCTAAACAGGCCCATGGGACTATGACTCAGGGAGGTGGGACACAGTCACCTCCCTCCAGGAATCCCGATGTCTAAGGAACAAAACCCAGACGCAGAATAACAGAATAAATTCCGTACTCCCCCCCAGATCCCGCATGGTGATGTGTGTCTGGGGGCCCTGAGGAAATAGGAGAGAGGAACTTTGTGACTTAGAAGAAGCCTGGTGAGAGGCCAGGAATGGAGGGGTGGGTGGGGATGGAGGTGGTGGCCCAGCTGGGACAGTGAAGACTTTTTCAGATCCAGGCTTGGGAGGGGGGAGGAGTAGGAGGAAAGCGAGAGGTATTAGGGAATGGATGGCTTTCATGCCTTCTTTTTTCTAAACGTAATCAGGAAAACAGAAACCACACTAGTTATTTTAGACACAGGGTGTTTAACCCAGGGAATTGTTTACACAGGTGTCCAGACACAGTGGAAGGGCAAAAAGTGGATACTGAGATAACCCTTTTGATGAACTGCTGGAAGCAGCTGCCACCCCTTGGCTGGGGCATTTTAGGAAAGAGGAGGTTAGTTTAGTTGTCTGGTGGTGGGTAACAATTCACTCCTAAATTTGGTGGCCTGAAATAACTGATCACTCATGGCTCACAGCTTCTTTGTCAAGAATTTGGGAGCAGCTTGGGTGGGTGGTTTTGGTCTGGGGTTTCTCCTGAGTTTGTGGTCAGATGTTGACTGGGGCTGCAACCCTTTGAGGGCTTGACTAGGGCCAGAGGGTCCACCTCCAAGGATCCAATTCCTTTGTATATGGCTCAAGCACATGGCCGCAGGTGGATGCTGGCTGTTGAGCAGAGGCCTTAGTCCCTCTCCAGACCTCTCTACAGAGCTCCTGGAGTGTCCTCACAGCATCCTCTGGGGTGAGCATCCCAAGAGAGCAAAGCAGCAGCTCCACTGCCTTTTAGGACCTACTCTCAGAAGTTATACGTGGTCATGTCCACCATATTCCACTGGTCACACGGTGGAGATGACTCAGCGTGGGAGGTGTCTACACATGGCCCAAATACCCGGACCAGGAGGGATCACTGGGGTCAGCTTGGAAACCAGCTGGAGATTTGGAGGGAGGTGCCTCAGAGGACCAGTGGTCAGATTTTTGATGTGTGCTGGGGGGAAGGGTTGGATTCCATTTGGTGCTGAAACTCCTAAGAAGATAAATGCAAAAATAGCCAGTGCTAGAGCTAAAAGTCTGCTCCCGCTGGACTTGAGGGCAGAAGAAAGCCCCTTCCCTTCTTTCACGTTCCAGCCTCCCCAGCTGGCCCCTGTTAGCAGGCCTACCTCAACAGGAAGCCAGTTGCAAGGAAGTCTGAGAAATGTAGTTTTCAGTGGTCCAGCAACACTATCACAGGAAAAAAAAATGGAGTGGAGTGGGCTTGGGGCCGAGGTACCATGAGCAACCAGCACAGTTCATCCCTTTGGCTCATCACCCGTTGCTACCATATTTGACTTCCATACAACTCTTAACAACTTCATGCTTCCACCTAACAAGATGCAAGTATCCTTAGTACACGGTTATGTCATTCTCTCCCTAATGCCAGTATCAGATACAGTACAAGAAGAGAAAAATTACACACCATTATCATTCTAGCAATATCTAAAAAGAATAATATACTATGACTAAGTAGGGTTTATCTCAGGAATGCAGTAGTGGCTCAGTATTTTAAAAATAAATCCATGGAAAACCACAGTGAAATACCACTTCACACCCACAAGGATGGCCATAATTTTTTTTAAACGAAAGAAAATATGTGTTGGTGAGGATGTGGAGAAATTGGAAACATTCTCTGCTTGGAAATATAAAATGGTGTAGCTGCTGTGCAAAACAGTTTGACAGTTCTTCAAAATGGTAAACATAGAGTTATGACCAAGCCATTCCAATCTCAGGTATATAAGCAGGAGAAATGAAACTTGTACATGAATGTGCATAGCAACATTATTCATAATAGCCAAAAAGTGGGAAAATTCAAATGTTCATCAACTGCTGAACAGATAAACAAAATCTGGTATATATATGTAGTAGAATATTATTCATCCATAAAAAGGAATAAAATACTGATGCATGCTGTAACAGGGATGAACCTTGAAAACATTATGCTAAGAATCTAGACATGAAAATTCACATGTTGATGATTCTGTGTACGTGAAATGTCCAGAATGGCAAATTCATAGAGGCAGAAAATAGATGGGGGAAGGGCAGATGGAAGGTGATTGCTAACTGGTATGGAATTCATTTGGGGAATGAAGAAAATATTCTGGAATTAGTGGCAATGGTTGCACAACTCTGCAAACATACCAGAAACCACTGAATTGTACACTTTAAAATGGTGAATTTTAAGGTATGTGAATTATCTCAGTTTTAAAAATCAGTCGGTGTAATTCATCGTACCAGATCATATAAATGATGCTGAAAGCATCTGACAAAAATTCAACATCCGTTCTTGTTTTAAAGAAAAAAAAAATCTCAGTAAACTGAAAATAGAAGGTAACTTCCTTAAAATGATTCAAGGCAGCTACAAAACAAAAAAAACACAGCTCACACTACTTAATGGTGAAATAATGCATGCTTTCTCCCTAAGATCAGGGAGAAAAGACAAGGAGGTCCAGCCTCACCACTCTTATTCACCATTGAAATGCAAGTTCTGGTCATTGCAGGAAGACAAGGACACAGACAAGAAGTAAAATGTGTCCAGGTTGGAAAGGAAGAGATAAAACTGCTCCTATTTCAGAAGAGATCATTGTCCATGTAGACAACCCTAACAAATCTACAAAGTAAAAACAAAACTTCCTAAGAACTAAGTTTAGCAAAATCTGAAGATACAAGGCCTAAAACACTAAGTTGTATTTCTACATACTACCAATGAACAACTGGAAACCAAAATATTTTTAAGTACCATTTATAATAGTTCATCCCAAAAGGAAATAAATCTAAGAAAATCTAATGTAAAGCTTACAAATCTAACAAAATATGTATAAGATCTGTATGCTGAAAACTAAAATGCTGAAGAAGTCAAAGAAGACCTAAATAAATGGAGACACATAGTGCTCTCATGAGTTGGATAACTCGACACAGTTAAGATGTTAATTCTCCCCAAATGGATCTATTGATTTCACACAATTCCAATAAAAATTCCAAGAGTATTTTTTGTAGAAATAGACAAGCTGAGTCTAAAATTTATATGAAATGGCAAAAAGACTAGAGAAGTTAATTTTGAAAAAAAAAGTTGGAAGACACACATTACCCAATTTTATGACCTGTAAGAACGGTGAGGTATTGGTGATGGGATGGGCATGTACATCAGTGGAACAGAATAGAGTACAGAAATAGACCCACATATTAGCCAATTGCTTTTTTTTTTGGTGGTGGGTAATTAGGTTTATTTATTTACGTTCTTAATGGGGGTACTGGGGATTGAATCCAGGACCTCGTGCATGCTAGTCATTCACTCTGCCACTGAGCTATGCCCTCCTCCTAGCCAGCTGCTTTTTGACAAAGATGAAAAGGCAATTTAATAAAGAAAAAATAGTCTTTATAACAAATGGTGTTGGAACAATTAGACATCCATGTATCCTAAATAAATAAACAAATAAATAAAATCCCAACCTAAACCTCAAAACCCATAGAAAAATTAACTCAAAATGGGTCATAAGTCTAAATGTAAAATGTTAAAGAATAAAATGTTTATAAGAAAACAAAGAAGAAAATCTGCATGGCCTGGGTTAAGCAAAGAGTTCTTAGATGTGACACCAAAAGCACAATCAAAAAAAAAAATGGTTGATAAATTAGACTTCATCAAAATTAAAACTTTTCCTTTGTAAAATACAATGTGGTGGTGGTTATATGAATCTATAAATGTGTTAAAACACCTATAACTATAAGTAGAAAAAGAAGTCAGTTTTACTCTATGTAAATTTTATAAATAATAATTTTTAAAACTCTAACCAAAGCAAGTGGCAAGCCAGAAGAAATATTTGCAACATAAAGAAAATATTTGCAAAAAATGTAATAGTCAAAGAATCCTATAACCTGTAAGTGTTCCTACCAAAAAAAAAAAAAGATTGTCAGGTTGGATTAAAAAAAATATTTATATGCTGATTGCAAGAAACCAACTTGAAAAATAATGATATAGATAAATTAAAATTAAAAGGATGAAAAGATATACCACACAAACACAATTTTTTTTTAAAGCTGAACTGGCTATATTTAGATTAGATAGGTAAGATTTATATCAATCAAAATAGACCTCAGAACTGGGGAAATGATTAGGGATAAAGAGAGAGTTATATAATGATAAAAGAATTAACTAGCCAAGAAGACATAACTGTCTGAAATGTGTATGCATCTAAAAACATTGTTTTGAAATACATAAAGCAAAAACCCCTAGAACTGAAAGGAAAAATAGACTTTATCAGAGACAGCCAGAACTATCCAGATAAGCCACTTCTGAATTCCAGACCCTCAGAAACTGTGAGAGATAAGTGTTTATTATTATTTTAAGACAATAAGTTCTAGACTAATTTGTTACACAGCAATAGATAGCTCATACAGCCACCATTAAGACTTCTCTGGTTCTTTGACCATGGCTTAAGCTGAGAATTTAAAGCCCCAAGCTAGTCCCTTTCTTCCTGTAACTCTGCAGTGCAGTCAGAAATAGCCAGCTCACCTCACCATTCCTCTAGTTTTCCTTAGCCTCTTTTCACGTGGCATTGGGTTCAATAGGCACTTCATTTCAAGTAACCATGAGTGGTAATTAGATTATCTGAAATGGGATACCAGAATTCCATTCACATTTGGCAAGGTACTCAGCACTGAGTTCAAGGTCAAAGATGTAATCAAATCAATTTCACAATCCCACCATGGTAGGTCTATTATTTCTCTTGCCAGCTGGCTTCCTTCTAACTTCTGACAATGGGAAGCACTAAAGGGACCTTGGAAGATGGACAAAGAGGAAATAGGACTTCACTGGAGTTTTCCAGGGATTGTCTGTATTTCTCAAGCAACAGCAAACACTTGGCTCCTATCTCCAACTACTTGCAACCAGCATACCCCAGACTGACCAGAGCTCTCTCTTCCCAGGTCTAAACACCAGCAGCATGATGCAGC